CTCCAGCCCCACTTGTGGATCCCAGATCTTCCCAAGTTTGGGATCTCCAGCCCCACTTGTGGATCCCAGATCTTCCCAAGTTTGGGATCTCCAGCTCCACCCGTGGATCCCAGATCTTCCCAAGTTTGGGATCTCCAGCCCCGCGGATCGCAGGACTCACGGCGGAGTCGGCGTCCTCGGCCCGCAGGTGGTCGGCGATGTACTGCACCCCCTCCAGGGCCTTCAGGACCCTGGGGGACAACTCCAAGCCCCGCTCCGAGCCTTCCTCCTCCTCCTCCTCCTCCTCCTCCTCCTCCTCCTTGGCCGTCCCGCCAGATCCCGACCCTTTCCGGCCGCGGCGGAGCCGCTTTTCCTCGGATCCCGCGGGGTGGCTGGGACAGGTCTTCTCCTCGTCGTCCTCCTCGTCGTCCTCGTCCCACCTGTTGTCCACGTCGGTCTCCAGCCAGCAGCGGGAGGCGCCGAGGCGCGCGCCGGCGCCGCGTCCCCCCGTCCCCGCGGGCGGCGCCGGCGGTCTCCTCATGGCCAGCCAGCGCGGCACGGCGCCCAGGAAGAAGCGGCGCACCCAGCGCGGCATGGCGTGGGCGCCGGCCGAGCGGTGGTGGACGTTGAGCACGAAGACGGTGATGACGATGGAGAGGGTGACGAAGATCATGGTGAAGAGCAGGTACTCGCCGATCAGCGGGATGACCAGCGAGGTGGAGGGGATGATCTCGGTGATGAGCAGCAGGAAGACGGTGAGGGACAGCAGCACGGAGATGCAGAGCGTGATCTTCTCGCCGCAGTCCGAGGGCAGGTAGAAGACCAGGACGGTGAGGCAGGAGATGAGGAGGCAGGGGATGATCAGGTTGATGGTGTAGAAGAGCGGCAGGCGCCGGATGACGAAGTAGAAGGTGATGTCGGGGTAGATCTCCGTGCAGCAGTCGTACTTCTTGGAGTTGTAGGTGCCCACGGCGTTGATGATGGCCCACTCGCCGCTCTCCCAGTAGTCCTTGAGGTCCACCTGGTGGTCCATGGTCTCCAGGTCGATATTGGCCTTGTCGTAGGTCCAGGAGCCGAACTTCATCTTGCAGCTCTGCTGGTCGAAGGGGAAGAAGGTGACGTCGATGCTGCAGGAGCTCTTGTAGATGGCCGGCGGCGTCCACTTGACCGTCCCGTCCCAGGACAGGTGGGCCTTGGTCATGTGGGTCACGGCGAACTCGCCGTCGGCGCTGGAAAACAGGGAATGGCCAGGGATGGTCAGGGATGGATGGTCAGGAATGGTCAGGAATGGTCAGGGATGGATGGTCAGGGATGGATGGTCAGGGATGGTCAGGGATGGATGGTCAGGGATGGTCAGGAATGGTCAGGAATGGTCAGGAATGGTCAGGAATGGTCAGGGATGGTCAGAGATGGTCAGGGATGGTCAGGAATGGTCGGGGATGGTCAGAGATGGTCAGGAATGGTCAGGAATGGTCAGGAATGGTCAGGAATGGTCAGGGATGGTCAGGGA